CTGTAGGCGATCTAGTCTAGGTTAAGTCTAAAGAGTTTATCCCAGAAGAGAACATTTCTCAAAAGTTGTTACCCACCTATAGAGGACCATGGCAAGTACTCGATGTGATAGGAGACGTGGACGGACCATCCTACGTTATTGAAATTTCTCTACACCTACATACATACCCGGTGTTTCATGCGTCAAAGCTCTTACCGTGTGTGACTAACGAACTGTTTCCCAATTGAAGGTCAGCAATTCCTCCAAGCATGGATGGAAAGTTTGATGTTGATAAGATCGTTACTGAAAGTATCATTCAGACTGGACGCAGAGGCAAACCTTTGCGGCAATATAAAGTCCGATTTGCATGTCAAGATCCAAGTGAAGACCACTGGTTTAGTAGAGAAGAGCTAATTGACTCAGCACCACACGTTGTATATGCTTATGAAAGAGCAAGAAGAGGAATTAATATTGTGTATAGGTAAGAATTTTTCTCAGAGGACTTCGAAATTAAGCCGGCGAGAGTAAAAGGGCCTTTACGAATCAAACCCCGAATGTATTCCCCAACAGCAAGGAGCCCTGTCGGCCAGAACTTGAATTCATGAGAAGCAATTCAAAAGACAAAGTTTCTGAGGTAAAAGTCGCATCCATAATGAAGTGTAAAGTCATTTTTGAAAGGTCACATTGGTCCTGAACGAACAGGTATTGGACACAACTTTCAAGACCGAGTTAGGGTCATGTCTCCTCGATGAAAAAACATGTCTGTTCGTCAATAAGTTAAAGGCTACAGTCCCAGTCTAGTCATAATCCCATGAGTCAGTCCTGATTCAGACAAGGAGTCCAAAAGACAGGTCAGATGGCCCAAAGCAGCAACAGACCATGGGAAAAGATACTTGGACACTGTCGCATACCCTAACGGTACAGACCAGACCAAGAATCGACCTTTCTCGCATGATACAAGATAGCACAACGGAAGGCTTAAATACCGATTATCCGATCAATCAAGCTGCCATGCAGACCAAACATGCATCGTCATCATTCCATGGTGTGAAGGGGGTTGACGCGTACACAGGAAGAGTGCGTCAGTCCCTGATCATACACAGACGAAGAAGAGGGGGAGTAGACGAAGGAGAGGGAAATATGGAGATGTCGTCAACACCAAGTCTCCGGTACAATCCCCAATAATCCCTCGCCAAAGGTTTGAATCTCGATGTCGAGTCTGAGCCCCAAATGTCGTCAAATCCCAATGTCGCCCATCCCTCTCTCTCTCTCTCTCTCTCTCTCTCTCTCTCTCTCTCTCTCTCTCTCTCTCTCTCTCTC